TTTGACCTCTTTGCCCTTGTCACAAGCTAACCCAGCTCTAGTAGTCTCACCTTTCATCTCTGCTTTCCTCTGTCTGCGGTTTTTATCTTGATTATTGTTTTGAGCAGTGCAGCTAGAATAACATGCTTTTTTTCTTAAGTTGCGATCTTTGAAAATCATACACCAGTCAAAATGAGGACAATGCTAAGTTGACAAAAAATGCTCAAAGTTGTCTCAACTGTATCTACACAGGCTCATTTTTCCTGCTCCCAACATTGGACAAACATTGCATGTTTATCATGGATTTCAAAATTATTTTTATTCTCAAGATTTGAGCAAACAGTTCTCTGAATTTTATCTAATAAATTTGGGTTAATGACTACAATACCTTCCAGAGAACCGATGAGGCTACTTGTTATAATCTGGTTCATAACTTCCACATTTGATTGTCAGTGGCAGGTAAAGCCATTAAGCTGTAGGATTTGGTCAAACTAGGACACTTGTCTTTTTAATGGCTTTGTTTTATATCCTTTGCTTTCTCAGACTAGACACATGGGGAAATACAGACTTTTTGAGCTACCTTCTAAGTCGAATCCCAACTTTATAAATCCACACATTTCAAAATGTCCAAATTTTTACATGTGAAATGTGGTGCTACATAAAATATTTCTCCCTCTTTCATTGCTTTATAGGAATAAATCTAAATCTTTAGAACACTCAACAATTAGCCTCTTATTATCACACTTAATTGGAATACCTCATGGTTCAGAATCAGGTGGCTTATGAACCACCTTTTAAAGAAACCTAGCTTTATAGCATTTGTTATATAGTCATTGATAGTACAGAATATAAATATGCCATACTTTGAAAAAACTAGAAATCTTTTCTATAAAAACTTTTGCTTACAAAATGACAATATACTCTACCAGATGTCTCTCTTTTTGAAAAATTAATTTTGAATTTTCTTGCCAGATGGTTTTGTGTCACAACTTGATTTTAGAGTTCTTTTATTTGTATATGTCTTCCGAATGTCTCATTTTATGTCTAAATCAGTATCTTTTATTTGACTGGCTTTACAACTGTACCTGTCACGTATGTGATACCACCACCCATGAGTTAACATTAAAAATCAGGTTTGCTCCAACAACGTTCTTCTAAAACTCTTCTCTTTTTAGGTGCTTTAAAAAGTAATGGACACATGTATGGACTTAAACTGAATTTCCTTCCTGCTCATTTTTATTTCCCTGTCTATTTCTTCTCCTCTCTTCTTTATTTCACACTTTGATTAGCGTAATGATTAAATGCAAGTAGTCTGCCCTCTTTCTGTGCCAAAAATTCTTCAGTATACCTCCTCCTGTCCCCTAGCGGTCAGAAAGTTCATTGTTCTGTCTTCTAAGTTAAAAGACTTGTTGCCTTACATTGTTAGCAACAACATTTCTGGGGCTGCCCCGCCTCTTTCTCGGTTTTCCTGTTTGGGTCCATAATGCACTCGGTTGCCCTTTCTCTAAAGGGTTTTACCCGGATCCTGTAGATCACAGGAGATGGTGCTTCACCGCTGTTTTGAACACTTCTGTCTGGGGCTGTGCTTCAAACCCAGCTGGTTTGGAGATCTGAATCTGCCACACCTTTAACTCTCCCCTCTGCTAGAGTCATGGTTTTCTAACCCTAAGAATAAAAATCTTCCACTCATGACATAAATTCATTGTTTTCACTGCGACTTGACTCAGTGTTGCCGGAGTTGCATTGTTAGGAGAGAAACGTGATGTATGGAACATACTCAGACTCTGGTCCAGGGTAGTTCAATAAATATTTGTGGATGATCATATCAATTACTTATTTACTTATCTGTATGTAAATATATGTAGATGCTGTTACTAGGAAATGTCCCTAGAGACACCAAATATCTTAGTGTTGTTAGCTTCTACCATATACTGAGTACCTCGCGACATTGTGAAGTGATGGGAGGATGTTTCTGTCTACAGATCAAACATCTGGGTCAGCATATAACGACTTCCTGAGTCATCAGATTAAACACTGATTAAAATGACTTTATGTATGCTTTTAATTTATTCAGAAAATGTATTACAATTCCCACAGGTACAGATAAATGCAAGTTTTTGGTTTTTATTCAGACAATGAATAGGATTTACACGTAGAATTTAAGGAAGGAGAAAATGAAAACAAATTAACATATAAAACATACATATCAATCACCATGTAATAAATAAATATAGTAGGTAAAAGCCTGTTGTATCTTATATGTAAAGGCATGGGTATTTCATAACTAGAATTTAATTTAGAATTACTTGTTACATTTTTTTAAAATTTCAAAATATGTTATCAGTTTATTTTGAACATTTTTGGGTTATTGATATTCTCTGGTCTCTCTGTACACTTGAAATATACCAAAATGATGATGTAATATCACCAAAAATTAGCTTTTTAGTATTTCAAGTTGTAATTAAATTTATACAAAGGGCATTTTTTTAATATATTTTTTTAAGATTTTATTTATTTATTGGAGAGAGAGAGAATGAGAGATAGAGAGCACATGAGAGGGAAGAGGGACAGAGGGAGAAGCAGACTCCCTGCTGAGCAGGGAGCCCGATGTGGGGCTCGATCCCAGGACTCCAGGATCATGACCTGAGCCGAAGGCAGTCGCTTAACCAACTGAGCCACCCAGGTGCCCCTACAAAGGGCGTTTTAAGTACTTTTTTCCAGGGTCAAATAAGAAAAAAATTAGTGACAGGTGGTAGGTGATCTTGCTATGCTGTGATAGGAGAAAGGGTAAAATTTAAATACAGTGTACATTCTAGAGTTAAGAAAGAGATAAATTAGATTTATACCAACAAAACAAGATAAAGGCCTAAGTGATTATATTTTTCCATATTTAGCAATTTTATCATATATAAATATAAAGCCCCAATTATCTTGAAATTTTGTGCTGGGAATAAAGAAACATTGCCCCACTTAATGCATATGGTGTTTTATACTTTTTAATATATAGCCATTTAGGGAAGAAACAATTCCAGTAGAAAAACTCCGTGATGACACTTCATACCTCCTCATCCCAGATAAAATCAATGTGTTCCAAGGCTTGAAATTATCCAGCTAGTTTATGTACCAGCGGTGTCCATTTTGATGCAAACTCTGTAGCATGGTGTTCTCAAATGAACAATCACACCGTTGATGAAAAAAATAAAGACACTTTTCTCTCTTTGCTTCATTTCAGCTTTGGGGGAAAGTGAGTCAAACTGGTGATTCTCAAACTTTAATGCATAAGAATTGTTAGGATGGTGTTAACAGGACCGTTCTGATTCAACAGTTCTGAGCTAGATCCAAAAGTGTGTGTCTTTGTCAAGCTCTCATACCAAACTTTGAAAAGCAAGGAAGTGGAGCAATTCAATGCAGGCAAATGGACCATTCATGTAGGCACTGAGAGATGGGTTTAATATGTACATACCTATACCTGGAAAACTTGACCTGTTAATTTGACTTCACTTTGTCCTTTCTTTAATATGAGATACAAGGAGTCGTGGTTACTAGCTCTTGTGAGACTTAGAGCAATATCATGCGTCTAGTATAATGATACATGGTCATCAGCATGTCTGATTTCCCCAGGAGTGGCCAGCACAGGCTCTGTAATCTGGATCCAGCCTGCTGGGTACGTGGGTGGGCACCACGTGGAGTTACATTGACTCCTGCTTGCAGAAGCCTATTGAGCTTGCTGCAGCCCATCTTGGAATTCTTGGTAATTTCATCTTTGTGTAAGTGAAGACTGGGGCGGGGGTGTGCACATGCACAGAGCAGTGTGCTGGACACAGCGCCCACACATGTGGATGAGGTCCCGTGTGCAAGGCGAGCAGCGCACATCTTCATCCTGCTCTGGGACCCACAACTGTGCAGCTGGCTGCCCTGCATAGACCTGTTCTTCCATTTCCCACCAGTTTTTGCCTCTGGATTGATTAAAGATGACTCACCTTCCCCATCCCAGGCATATTACTCAGAGCCCCCAGTCCCAATCAGTTAACTAATCTGACCAATTCATTCCTATTAGTGTGGTGACCAAGAGCTGGAGTAGAAGTCCAAGGTCACATGAAGAACTTTAAGCTGGGCTGCTGTAATGTCCTTCCCCATCTGTCACCCTGGAAAACCCATCCGTCCTGTGTAACCTGGGATGAGAGCAGACGTACCACACTGATGAAAAGGATTATTTGCAATCCCCATATCTTTAGCATCATTTCAGATGCATTTTTTATTCTATAAAATACCAGAGCTGCATATTTTGTCTATCTGTGCTATGGGGCTTATAGAGAGAGGTATCAGTGCTAAATACTTTGAATTAGTTTTTCTGTATTTTAGGCTGAAGGCCAGTATTACATGATGCATTAAAAAAATTGTCAGTGCCCTAACTAAAGGCAATTCCATCTAGAAAAGTGCCTGATTATAGTCTTAGGATCTGTAAATATTGGTCCTGTTTATCTGAGAACACACTGTTCATGAGAATTTTGTTGTTATCTTTAAATGAGAGAGAGAATATAAAACATTTGTTTTCATATTATGTTTTTCTGGAAGGATAGAATTCCCAGATTCACACTTAAAATTTTTCATAAAGATTGCCCACTATGCTTGAAAAACAAGAAAACAAGAGAGCATTGTCATGGGTTTTGCATATAATAAGAAACATAATTTTAAAGGACCTTTTAAAATGTGCATGTGTTGGAATTGGAGTGTATAATAGTAAACCTTAGTTTTACTTACTTAGAAGTAGCAAATTTTATTATTTAAGGAAAAGCTTGATTCACTGCATGCTGAATATGAAATGTATTTAAGCATTAGCTAACAGCTGATTTAAAGTTGCCTGAAGTGTTCTTGGTAGACTAACAAGAGAAAGAATTAAGGTCTTTGTTCATTTCCTCAGGAGGAGAGCAATAGGGGAAAAAAGCTATTTTGTTATTCCAAAAATAAGCATGTTGTTTATATTGCATACTTCCTAAGCATTTGTCCCTGCATTTCTGCAGCTGTGGGTCTCTCCGCATGCCAAGAACCAGCCCTTCCCAGCAACGGCATCAAAATAGGAGATCGGTATATGGTGAATGATGTCCTCTCCTTCCAGTGTGAACCTGGGTACACCTTGCAGGTATCCTCCTTTTGAGATTTGGGAATAAAGAGGGTTAAACATAGGAGTCCTTGGCCAGCTCGGTGAAGCCGATGCCCGAGATTTGTACCCGGAGAACTAATTTAGTTTCTCTCACTCTGTTTGTAAATCAAAGTAGTCGCATTAATCCATGCATGCTGGTAATCTTAATTATAATGTGGAAATAGCTTCTAACGAGGATGCACTCTTTCAAAGTTGAGCATCTTGTTTTCATAATTATTTTATTTCAAAATGTATGTTCTCCCCATAAGTATGAAGATAAAATTCTAAGGGACAAAGTATTGACACAAGTCTCTTTCAAAGCGTCACCCCAACAACCCCTGTGCACACTGTTCTCATGGTCAGTTGGGCAGATCATCATTCCATACATACTCTGTACCAGGTACTGTGGTGCTCAAATAATAGGTTTCAATGATTTCCAAGAAATATTGAGGAGTCGTTATCATTTTTTATAATTTTATATAAAAGTTTTCATGAACTTTTATAACCTAATATGTACCAACATTCGTTCTGTTTTGTTTTTTTCTGGTCTAATCATAAATACGCTTACTCACAAAATAGTTTCTGTCACTTAGCATAATTCTTATAGGATTGTCCCTGCCAACAATGACTGTTAATAGTCTACGCATGCATATTACACAGTCAAGCAGAAAAAGTTAAGCCTAATTATGTGTCTCCTCTTTGGTTATTTCGGGTAATAGAGTACTTTGGGCTGTCTGCTTAGAAACACTGCAGAGCGGGGACAAGTCACAGACGCGCCAGCAACCCCTGAGCACTGACGGAGCACCCCTGACTCGGATCACACACAAACCTGTGTCTGTCCTGGGCGACCCCATGATGTGGGAGCTAGGAGGCAGGTCTTTCCTGGATGAGGAGGGGAAGCTGAGCCGGGGGGTGAGGGTGTGGGGAGAGAGAAGAGCTGGGAAGGCATCCCAGGCGAGCACCTGTGCAGGACACAGCAAAGGAACCATCGCCACTGTTACTATAAACTAACATCAGTGTGGGAAGTCACCTTCATAAAAACAGCCACAACCTGCAGATGTTGGTGGGTACTGTGATAATTGCAGGGACTCTAGAAAGGATGGACAGACCCTCCTTTGCAAAGCTTAAGAGTTACTGAGGGGCCTTGCATACAGGTTCTGCCTCTAAGCAAGTTTTTAAACAAGCACACGGAGGCTACTTTAACAGATTCTTTAAGACAAAACTTAACCACGTTATAGTATAAAGAATTCCGAGTCACATCCCATGGGCTTCATGTAGAGGGACACCACAGTACATACTGATAAGCCATTATTATGTCCTTTTTTTTGTTGTTGTTGTTTGCTTTATAAATGACCACGAATTCCCACACATGAATACTTGCTTTGCTCATGGACGTTCATCTTCTTTCTACTCATTCATTATGTCACTTTGCAGTTACTATGAGAATCCTTTTCTAAATGACACCTTTGCAGCCCTCAGAGAAGAACACAGAAAGGAGGATTCTGGAAGGACCCTCCATAGGATGGGTTGTTTAACAAAATGCGGGCAGAGAGGGAAGCAGACTCCCTGCTGAGCAGGGGGCCTGATGTGGGACTCGATCCCAGGACTCCGGGATCATGACCCGAGCCGAAGGCAGCCGCTCAACCATCTGAGCCACTCAGGCGCCCCTGACCCTCTTCCCTCTCATGCTCTCTATCTCTCATTCTCTCTCTCTCAAATAAATGAATAAAATCTTAAAAAAAAAAAAAAGATCTGTTTCTAAAAAAAAAAAAAAATTGCGGGCAGATAAAAGCCTGTGGATACACATCTGCAGAGCCCTGCCAGGCTGCTCATTAGCTCTCGTTTTCAAATGCAAACTAAGGTATTGGGTCTTCTTTAGGGACTGGGCCAAGCTTTGACTTCACAAGCTGCCATATTTGGCATTCGCAGGAGTGAAAAAGGATCCTGGCTTTTTTTTTTTTTTTAAGTTGCTAAAAATGGACAACACATTTGCTAACACGTTAACATAATCCCAGCATGCATGAATGACATATAATTTATGAAGAGTTCACACACAGATGTGCATGACCTGCCTGCTTAGGTAGCTTCCTGAATGCGGTACAGAGGTGCTATCCCATGACACGCAGAGGGAATCCTGCACCTTTGTGTGCTTGAGGATTTCCATCTTCCCCAGCCTTGTTTCGGCGTCCTTTACAAGATGCAAAGCTGAAAACAGAAAATTCTTATTTTAAACTAGTAAATACATAGACAGGGTCCTATCTTGCTTTCGATCCATGATATGCATTTCAGCTGGAATAACTAATATAAAATGTTTGTGCCAAAATCAATAACAGAGTATGACCTAGATTGATAATAAATGACTATTTTCTTGGTAGTCTTCGATAAATGTCTTTAAAGGCCTTTGCACTTTACGTTTTCCATAATTCAGGAAGAAATTTATTAAAGATAATTTAACGGATCAGAAAATGAGTGCACACAGAGCATGAATGTTAGCAGGAAATGTACTGCACAGAAGGTCTTTTTTAAGAATAAATACAGTCTCCTTTTGCCTTAATGACTTTTTAACATATCAGAAAGTATTAGAATATGAGTTCTGTGGCAGATGAATTGTGTATGAAATATTTCTGAACTTAGGGAATTGGTTTGTCATTGATAACTGCATTAGTGCAAATTCTTGTTTGATGCGTCCCCAGTGTGGCTGGGATTATTTGACATGAATTAAAGATTTGTTTCCAATTGCCTCTGTGCCAATTATGGGTGGCAAATGGAAACTCACAAGATCAGTACCCACAGCAGATGAGACCACCAAGTCACACGGAAGAAAAAAATAAATAAAAACGAATAGTCTGCACAGAGGTGCCCATTTACTACCTTCTCTATTAGAGTGAGATTTTAGCACAAAACACAGAATTTAACTTGCTGCTGTGTGATTTTTAAAACAGAAGTAATAGGACTAGGACAGATCTTTTTGAAGGTTGAATGTTGAAAACTTCCTATATTTAAAGGATAAAGAGACCATGGGTGATGAGGATTAATTTTATTGCGGCCACAATTCTTTGGCAGTTTGTGAGCCTGTCTGATAGTACAATGAATATTAAGCCTCCTTTTTCTCTGATGGAGGAGGAACTGACCCAGTTCTTTGTGGGACCATAAGGGGTGTGTGATTTGTACGTGAACTCTAAGCAGGGAAGGTGACGAAGAAGGTCCTTCTCAGAAGCAGATCACATACTGCTGACCTTCCACCCTTCAGATTGATCCCTAGTATTTCCTAATCATTTACAGCCTCCCAGATCAAAAGCTATAACTTCTGATGATTTAAAAAAGAAAAAAGAAAAAAACAAAACAACACAAAGATGTGTCTTTCCCAAGCCATTCTGTTAAGCATCAGGAAAGGAGCGTGTCACAAACAGACCATTGAAAGGGACACTGCAAGATTTTGGTGTTCGTGAAAAGAAGTACAGTGGTTATGGATTTTTTTTTTTTCTATCTTGATTGCAAGTATATGATTCATTGACAAACATTAGTGGACTACATTCCACGATTTGCGGTTTGTAATTTAAAAAGGAAACCAAAGGATGTACAGATAGTCTCACACTGAGTCCTTACAAACTCTGTCTGCAGTGATGTGAGTTTTATTTCCTTTTCTCTTAAACAGGGCCGGTCCCACATTTCTTGCATGCCGGGAACTGTGCGTCGCTGGAACTACCCGTCCCCGCTCTGCATTGGTATGGATGCTCCCCCGAAGCGGTGTTCTGTGCGTGTGCACTAGCAATCATGCAGCGGTCAGCTCCCGGAGCTACTCTTCCGGGCCTCAAATGACACCCTTTTAAAGTCCTTTCAAAACTGTTGGTACTTAATAATCACATCATGATGCAATAGAGGTGTAGCAAAAATTGAACATGCATCTTGTCCCACGAGAGGTACTGGCTCAGGTTTCTCATTGTCTTAGGACCAAGCTACACGAGTTAGATGTAAGATTGCTAGCTCGAGGCGTTAGACTCAAATTACATTTGTATCAGAAGGCCCGTGGATTAATTATGAGAAGGAATGAACACAGCAGGTCTGAAAGTCTGAGTGCTGTTCTGTGTAGGCCTTTAGGCTCCAGGAAAATCGAGTTTCCAGAAACGAAATTCAGAAATACAAATAAGTGACTTGAAGTTGGAGGGATAGTATTTTATAGGAGAAAGAGGGAGGGGTCCGCCTGTGGATGTGCTCATTAGGACAGTGATCCAGCCTGCCTCTTTAGAGAAAAGCGTCCCAAACACAGCATTGCAAGAGGAAGAACTTGCGTCCAGGGCCCAATTAACTGTTTGCATGGAGGACGTGGTCGGAGTGATTCCCTGGGCAGAGCAGGTGCTTTTCGCTTACCTCCATTATTTTTATTTTTATTTTTTTTAATTTTATTATGTTAGTCACCATACAATACATCATTAGTTTTCGATGTGGTGATCCACGATTCATTGTTTTTGTGTAACACCCAGTGCTCCATGCTTACCTCCATTATGAGAAGACCTTGATGTATAGGGCCCCTTAAACTCTGCACGGTCTTCCCCTCACTCAGGCCTCAAGCTTGGCCACCACCCATCAGCTGTCTGTCTGACTCAGGAATCTTTACTTACAGCTCAGGTGACCACACAACTTCGTTGGGTGCTACCCTCACCTGTGCAACTCAGTCTACCCCAGATGCACACTTCCTGCCTTCCTCAAACCCTGTTACACCTCCTGAATTCCCTTCCCAGGTGAACCCCCATGATTATCACCTGTTTTGTATAATCTGGATATTATCTCAGCTTCCACATCATCCACCGAATGCAGAGTTCCTCACCCTTGCCGGCCTACCACCTAAATGGTCCCCAGTCTCGATTCTCACCTGTTAAGTCCTCAGCCTTAGGTTCTCACAGGCTTCTAGCACCTGTATGGCACCTTCTAAGTGACTGCCATCAGGATCCTAACCTACAGTCCCCCAGTTTCGGGGATCCTCCTACTTTATCAGGGGAAGGAGCTCGTGTACCTGCTCACGGCCCCAAATTCTACTCGGCACCCACGCCACACCCAGAACAGCATCTCCCAGCTTCAGGGACCTGCTGGCACTTTGGTTCTGGCCCCACCTGCTCTCCTGCTCTCACTTCCCCAAAACATCTGATGCCACCCCTCGTGTCTGCGCTCCCAGTGTCTATGCCCTTCCCCGTGCCCCACCTCCAACAAGCTCAGTGTTGGCCCCCAATTTGGGCCCCAGGCCAGAGGAGAAGGCAGTAATACATCTCTCTTTATGTGAAAGGTTGATATTTTGTTCATCACAGTTTTGTTTTTTGTTTTGTTTTGTTTTGCATTCCTTTTGATGTTTCCAAATATTGCACCAACATATTGTTTGAGCGTCCAGGCACGCTCTTAAAGTTTGCAACTGAGGGAGGTGCCTCACTGGCCAGACCCTCACCCCAGCCCGGCCTGGGTTCCCACCTTGAGCAATGACAGAGTCATTTCTATGATGTGGATGACTCTACTTTTTCTCGTGGAGAGCCATGATGTCATGTAGCTGTTAGTCTCCCTGCTACACCCAGGACCTTAAAGACAGAGCTGGGTGTCCCTCAGCACTCTACCATGAACACGTGGTAGGCTCTCAGTAACTTCGATTCCAGAATGACCAGTAGATGACAACATGGGTCATTATGACAGTGACCATGGATGCTTCGTTCATAGTCCCTCTCTTGCTTCCCGCACATGGATGCTGTGTGCGGTGCACTCGGAACCCCCTGGTCTTTAGAACGCAACCTTTGAGCATCTTCATATTGCATGTGGCATTTCAGGAGAAAGTGGTCAGCTTTCCTGAATAAAGGCACGTGATTTTGAAGGCCACGAGACAGCCTGGAAAGTGTTCTTAAAGCTACTCACACGCTGTTCCGAATCCATTTGTAAAGGAGTATGAGAGCTTAGGGTTCGTTCGGGCCCCCACAGGGAAAGCGAGAGAGCTACTCTCTGTTACCTATTCCTCTGAAAGCCTGATTTTCCCCTGTCTCCCACAAATCCTCGGTATTAAATGGTTTTTAGTAATCTGTAACTTCATTACCTTGAACGGGAAACAGATGGAGTCATATACAGGAGAAAATAAAACTAAGCCAAACCTTTAAAACAGAACTGCAGCCTTTATGATGTTCTCATGCAGGAGACAGTACATGTCCCTGTATCCCCTGTAATGTTCATCACAGCGTATTTGCTTACAAGTGAAAATATTCCCTAGTGACCAATATCTGTTTTCCTGAAAGCGATTTCTTGGTAAAATTAAATGTCTAGGTTACCCCGTCACCTAAAACGTTGAAGTTATTTGTACAGAGATTGGAAATCCCAGGTGTGACTTGGAAGGGAGAAACAGAGAGATACGGGTGCCAAGCTCAGGGGACTGCCTCCTCCCTCCCCGCCTTTTACTTATAAGAGCATCCATCTTCCTGTTTGTTTTTTGGTGATGAACCTTCCCTGAAACTTGGGAATTGAAAAATTTTAACTTTGAAATGAAATTAGCTCACAACAGGTATTCAATCAAACGGTGTGTCATTGCTGGTACTCTGTATTATGGGAGGACATGTTTTATTCAAATAGTTAACCTATATTAGCCACATATCATTGATTTTTATCTTTTATTTATTTGCCTCATATATTAGCAAATGTCAAAGGTACATCAACTTCTCTAACACCTGCTCACTCCTAACTTTTTACAAGCTGTAGAGAAAGGTTTTTCATTGGGAAACTCACAAACGACCCACAGTAAATCTCCAAGTCTGATCTGAGAGATTGAAAGGTGTTTTTTTGTTTGTTTGTTTTGTTTTGTTTTTGTTTTCTTTTTTTAGCTGTTAGCTTCAAATTAATATAAACTGGGGGATTTTTAAGACTAGAAATCTGTAGAGAGATAATCTTTTACTTATTAGCTCTTAGAAATTTCAAATCCTAATGAAAACAATTTATATCCAAACACTTCTCTACAGGTTACACAGTGTCAAGCACCATTCTCAGAGTTTAACCAATATTAACCATTTCAAACATCACAACAAGCCCCAGAGCAGCCAAGGTGTTTGCCAGATCCTTCCACCCAGCTGGCATTCCCTATGCCATTGGGTCTTTCCAGTGGGGTATGCCCTGTGCCCTGGAGTAAAAATTCCACATATCATGACCAAAAAATCAGGAATTTGCACAAAATAAGATAAATAAATTCAGTAAGATCTAAGATCCCCAGCTATTTGATAGTAATCAACACTTTGTCCTTTGGAGATACCATGTTTGCCATTAACTCTACATAGGCTACCTCCCTATAAGAAAGGGTCTGGGATGGAGGGAGTTTCTCCAGCCAGAAGCAGAAGGTCAGTTTACCAAATGGTGGTAGACAGGAAGGCCTTGGGAAGAAGGCTGAAACTTGATTGTAGCATTGAACAAATATACGGTAAGACAAGTCCATTGGTGGAGTTTTTTAAACATCACAAAGGAAAAAAAAAATTGGATGCACATCCTTTGGGAGCTCTGTTGTTACACCCACCTAGTGATTTTTGTACATTCTAGATAAAGTCGGATTACATCTCATGATAACTAAGTATTGGAGGAATTAGGTGTGAGAGGAATCTGTGTGAGAGGAGATCTATCCAATGCCCAGGCACTCCCATCTATCTTCACGACACTGTCTAGGCCTTCATTTCTGTCTTCACAACACCCAGAGTTGACTCATGTGAACCGAGATGTTGCTATTGATGGTGACTTCCATCATCCAGCCACTGAGCCAGATGTCCTGCAACATGGTCCCAGTCCTTCATTGGAGATGTACATGGATGCTTGTTTATAGTTCCCCATCTTTCCCTCTTCTTTTTCATGAAAATCATGTTCAAAATCAAAAGGGCCTCTTTAAAAATGTCACCTTTATTTCATGTGTCTTGGTGTTGCTGCCACTGATTTGGCATTTTCATGTCCATCTGTCCTGTGGTTGGACAGACATGTTTACTGTCATCGCAGGGTGAGAGACCTGAGGGGAGGGATATTACTGCCAAATATATTTAGGGATGCCACTCAGATCCACCAGCCTGCCTTCGCCAGAATGGACAGACTCATGGATAAAGTGCATCCCAGAGCCTGTGTTTCCACATACTTGGTATTCCCACAAAACGGCACCTCGAGAGGTCATACTCTGACTGACAACAAAGTTCACATTCAGGGTTTTGCTGACATTATTCACTCATCCCACAAAACTACATTTTTATTTTTTTAAGTCTACATCTTTAATAACTTATACAGTGTCAAAACCCAGAGTAGGATTCCCTAGCTTGGGCTGTTACCATATTCACCAGACTTGATTTTTTTAAGACTATTTAGATTTTTCCCCATATCAAATGTATCCTCAACAGATAAAGTGTTCCTACATTTGTGGTTAAAAAGAATAAAAAAAAAAAAAAAAGAAGAAGACTGCACTACAGGCCCTGAGTGGAGACTCAGAGATCTCTGAAAGAGGTTCCTGCCGATACCTAGTTTGCCTAATAAGAACATTGTTAGAATAGCAAGAAAGCCTTTTAATGTGACTTCCTGCAAAGATGTGACACCATTTGCATTATTACTTTGAAATATAAGAAATTGCCATTTTAATAGGTCACAAATGGTCAAGGGTCACAATTTCATCTGCTTCAACATATATTATTTGACAAGTGTTTTATAAAATCAGTTGTTTCTTTAGAGTCAAACCTCGGCTACAGTAGGCATAAAATGTGAGTAACCCAGGTCAGGCCAGCTGTGGAAGCTTAGTTCACTCCTGGTCATGATGATGAGTGTAAGGTTTCCCCAGGGAGAAGGTGGTTTTGCTGAGCTGCACCCCAAAACAGAACAGAATTCCAAAGGTAATGTATCCTGCTTAAAAGATTGGTCCTGGAGCCAGATGGAGCTGGTATAATATTCTAGTTGTGTTGTTTAGGCAAACTGCTACATCTCTTCAGGCTTGGTTTCCTAATCTGTAAAATGCGTAATAATAACACCAACATTTTTAGGGTTTTATGAGAATTAAGTCATGCTGTGTGTTTACTCAGCCTGATAGGTAGCACATGGTTACCAATGAATAAATAGTAGCTAATACTACCACTCAATAAATAGCCACCCATAACCTGAAAGTCATGGGGATGCCTGATGAACATGCATTAAACTGACGAACCTTTCCTGAGTCTCTGTGCACCGGAAGTAGATATATTTTGAAAACAGTCTTTGTTCTTAAGTAGTTGACCTGGGAGAGGGAGAGCCAGACCCATAAATATAACTAGTCATTGCATCAATTAGAGCAGCAGGAAGTAAATCCCTTTGCTAGAAAGCAATGGCCCCCAGCACTAAGCACGCTTGTCCACTTCACAGCAACCTGCGGAGGGACGCTGAGCAGCATGGGGGGCGTGATCTTGAGCCCAGGTTTTCCAGGAGCTTACCCCAACAACCTAGACTGCACCTGGAAGATCGAGTTGCCCATTGGCTATGGTAAGTGAAAGTTTATTTTTTTTTAATTCCTAAAAATTCAACTTTTTAATTTCTATCTTGGAAAGATTTCCACTGAATAAAAAATGCGTCTTCTTCTGTTGACGTAAGTGTCTTTAATTGAAAGTGGCTTAGAAATTTAAATAAAGCTTTGGCAGAATAACTGAAGAACAGAAAGTTATTAAAAAATCAATTCAGCCATGCAGCTCTTTTCAAGGCAAATTAAATTAGATGGATGATGATAGAGTAGGCACATGAAGTATAAAATGTAGCATCCCTAATTCAATTATCCATCTATTTATAATACCACATTTTATAATCAATTTCTGGAATGTAATAATGGTTGTTTCTTTGGAATGATTTTTAAGGCTTTTTCAGGTTATGACACATTTTAGGACTGTTCTGTAAATTTTTGTAATTATATATTGCATTGATTTAGGTTCATGAAAATGGCTTTTTATAATAGTTAGGGACTTTCAGGTTATCTACCTTAAATAATTCATAATTTAAATTGTTATGGACATTAAAATCTCATTATGGCCTTTTCCAGAAATTCATGGTCTTTGTGAAATTTTGATTCCCTTTCATGCCTCTCCTTGTCTGCATCATGATTTCCTTCATATTTGAGTTCATTAATTTGGGTTTTGTGATATTCTCCAAAGCAGACAACAGGTAGGTGTACCAAATTAGGTCCTCACTGAGTGTCCTAGGATATGGTAATTGAGAACTTAACTACTAAGTGAAATGTTAGTTGAATGATGAATGAACTTAAGCCCAAGTGGAAATCACTGCCCTAGAAGATCATATTGCTTATTAAGTTTTCAAAGCTTTGCCTTAAGAACCTATGCCCAGAGTAGCAGCATCAGGAGGAGTGCAGAATGGAGAGGAAGGGTCCACTTGCTCAGCAGAGAGCAACCAAGAGGAATCGTGGGCAGGAGGGCCTGGCGGGCGTCGGTCAGGTGTGCAAGCATGGACATGCTGTGCACAGACACCGAGTGTTACACCAGGGAAACAGGGGAGTGTGGAAGGGCACCCCCACTGGGGACCTCACAGGAGGTCCCATTAGGGTCTTTAAGGGACGAGCCAGAGGGCAATTGGGAACAGGAAGGGGAGAGAGCACAAAAAGATTACAGAGGCTCTCTACTTCTTCCAGGTTTTTTAGTGTAGTTTTGTTTATTCGATCATCAACTCTCTGAGCATCAGGGAAGTAGTTGTTTGATCTGCCCTGTGTTTAATCAACATTAGCTCAGCTATGGTCACAGGTGCAGTCTGTTTCCCTTCCATGGGGATCTGAAGATATGGATGTGGTTGATACAATGGTTGAGTCAGGCGGTGGGTTGGATTGGACATGCATGTGACCCACCATTTTCCAACAGCAACTTACGGCCCTTGAGGGTCACAGGCTTATTAGACAAATGACCAAGGTAGTTAAAAGCAGAGATTCAGAGAAAAGCAGGCCCACTCCAGCACTGACTCTGGTAGGGTATGGTCTACTGAAATGGGAAATGTGCTTTTCTCATCTTAAAAACCAAAAGAGCTACATAGGGTTATGGTGAGGACTAACTAAAATGATTCAGGAGGAGTTCAGCACAGGGCTTGGTGGTGTAAACAGCAATAACAGAAAACAAAGAAGTCAGCTGGTTTTTTTTTTATTATTATTCCAAGTATTTCCCACTTTCCTTTCAAATCTCATGAGAAATATATTATTCATGAATGGATATAAATATTTCATTAGCTTGTTTTTCCAACTTGACCATTCTATGATTGAGAAGGTTATTGTCTGGCATTTCTCCTTATGTTGCTCATGAATAAAGCAATATGAAAGATAATAATTCAGGGGGAAAAAATCAGTCAAGTTGTCTTATGGTCATGATCTATGAACTCAAACAAAATAGTTATTTGAGGAAATGCCAAAATGAGAAAAAAGATTTATGAAATGTTATAATTAAAATAATTTAAGTCTTTAAATATTTGATACTGCATAGTATTGGGTTTTGAAAGCATCTTGAAGAAAGGCAAAAAAAAAACTTTATGTCTTAAATCCTAAATACATACAAAATAGTATCACTATCTCTAGTTTTTTAGAAAAGATGTAGTTATGCTTCAAAATACAGTTGACCCATGAACAACTTGGTCCTTGGGGTGCTGACCCCTGCATAGTCGAAGATCCAAGCATGACTTTTGATCCCACAAAAACTTAATTAATAATAGTCTACTGTTGACCAGAAGCCTTATCAATAACATGAACAGTTGATGAACACATATGTTGTATATTTTTTATTATATACTGTATTCTTACAATAAACTGAGCTAGAGAAAAGAAAATGTTAACAAGAAAATCTTAAGAGAAAATACAATTATAGTTCTGTACAGTAAAAAATCTGCATACAGATGGACCCATACTGTTCAAGCCCATGTTCAAGAATCAACTGTAATATTACAGATTCAATGTAATTCAGTGGGTTTGCCTGTGATAAATTTTATAATCTACAAATATCCTTCTAAACATCAAGTTACAAATTTAGGGAGAAGGCATGTAAGCGGTGGTAGGTTCCTCAACATGGTGAATATTTGGGATTTTTCCATACCTGCTAAAAAAGCTTTCTGAGGTTTAAAAAAATTACAGAACATTTTGCTGATGTTGAGAAAACTTAAAAGCCTAGCTTTCAACCCCATATGAGATTTTTGAAACTCTTAAGTAAATTAATTTTATCTATTCCTGGTCTTCTTCTTCTTCGTTTTTTTTTTTCTTCTTTTATGTCTGCCTCTTCTCCCTTGTAATAACACGGCTCAAAACACCACCTCTTGTTTTGCTCTCGGATGTACACATTTGAACCCCCCATTTTCAGGTGCATGTGATGTTTTTTTCATCTGGGGCATCTGAAGGTGTCACAGACTCCATTGGAATTCAAATTCATAACTTTTCTTCTTCTCTTTTACTCAGTCTATTCTGCAGTGGATTCTTCTATTTCATTCCCTCTCTGTACCTCCAGCACTACCGTTCTCCCTGCGGCTTCCCTTTCCCTCAACCTTATCTTGGCCGTAGGTTCATCCCAGGCTCACCCAAGTCATAGGCAAACATCAGATCACTCCCTGGGAAATTTTGAGAAAGTAAGTTTGGGCTTGAAACCCAGGAACCTACAAGTTTAAGTTAAACACTCCAGAGGTTTCTTATGAAAAACAAATGAACAAACAGGAGAATAGCAAAGATGACTATTATCACCTTTAATGATAATCCCCCCCCATCTCCCATATTATATCCTATTAGCACCAAACCTTAGGGTGATTCTGGAATATCTCCTGTAATCACCACCTAGGACAGGGCTTCTGTTTTCCCAGCGGGATAGGTAGGGAGATTGGGAAGATACGATTCTACAGATGTCACAGCAGATGTTTTACCTGGAAAATTTCAGCTGTTAGGATGATCTTGGTAAGTAAGGTGGAAGAGATTTCCTTCTTCAAGGCATTATGTGATGGGTATTTTACATTAACAAGTGCGATAGAGTTAACTGGCTCTTCCCAGTGAACATACTCATTGGGCACATTGCTATCACTGCTCACCATCTGCACCTGTCCTAGATCTCCTGCCCGTGTGTGTGTGTGTGTGTGTATGTGGTGTGCATCTATGGTGGGGGGTCTCCTAACAACCCTTTCTGTATCTGAGGTTTGGGAAACCGTTTTAAACAATGTATGTTGTAGTATCTCTGGAAAGTTCATCAAGAAATGGGCACTGTGGGGAACTTGCTTATATAAGACACAAAGAAAAGATAACATGATTTCGAATATGTACTTAAACTTGAAACACTAAATACCAAGGAAAACGATTGCTTAGCCCAGTGGTTCTCAGCTTTGGCTCTGTCCAAGAATCAGTGGTGGGGGTCAAGTTGTTACAGTGAAATTCCTGTGGCTGGTAGCCATGCTCTGTCTCAGCACTGCTGGCCAGACGGGAAAAGGGGATCCAGAGTTTTCTTAAAAATAAATTCCATTTCAATATTTTTACAGTTTCCTCATTTCTTCAAATGCTGCCTCGGGAATCTGCACATGCATTCCTGTGTTCTTGATCTTCAGGTGTAGTTTTTGGTTGCTCGGGGCATTAGTGACTACTGTACGGGCAAACACAGATGACTTCAGTTCCTCCAGCTTCCTGAATAATACACTTATGAACATGGCATCATTGCCTTTTTTGCGGTCTTTTGTTCATGGAGGATTTTATCGGGGTGTTTTGAATCTTTCCATACAACTGGATTGCATGGGACTGCCTGATAGATTATCCGATCCATTAGTTAAGCAGCTACCAGCTTAGTCAAATAATCTGATTAGTCAATAGTTTAATTAAACAGGCTAAATGAATAGTGGCTTTGGCAGTATGTGGAAACTACCTTTGTCTTGCATTGCTAATTACTTGTTCCAGTGACAACTATTTCTTGCGTCCCGTCTCAGGGAGAGAACTAGGCTTTCCAAGTGATGGAGGGGTTAGGAGCAGAAGGGTGGTCAGCAGGTGTCCTGCATGCTCATGTCTGGGGGCTCTGGGTTGAGTAGAAAGCTTAGCACTATCAGTCACCGGTGCTATGAATTTGCACAAGTTATCACAATGTTTTTGAACCTCATTTCCTTATCTTTAAATTAAATATCACTGGGGCACCTGGGTGGCTCAGTTGGTGGAGCATCTGCCTTCAGCTCAGGTTATGATCCCAGGGTCCTGGCATCGAGCCCCATGTCCAGGTCCCCATTCAGCGGGGAGTCTGCTTCTCCCTCTCCCTCTGCCCTTGCTCCTGCTCTCTCTCTCTGTGTTGCTCTCTCTCACGTATGCTCTGTCTCTAATAAATAAATAAAATCTTTAAAAATAATAAATAAATAGATTAATTAATTAATTAAATATCATATAGCATGATTCTAATAGGGCTGTTTTGAAATAATGTCAATGCCTGATACAGAGCAGGTGTTATTTGGCTGTTCGCTGCTTTTAGTTCCTACACCAAATTCTCTGATGGTTTTTATACCATTTTCTTTCCTTTTCACAGATTTGGGTTGCTGTTTTGTGTTGCTTTGGCACAAGCCTAATCAACACAGAATGTCTGTCTCTGTTTTCTCGAATTTTCTAAAGTCACAGTCAGCAGAAATGCAACCATTTTTGTTTGTTTGTTTTTGCTTTATCATTGCTTTTCATATTTAAAAACCACTGTACCAACTTTGAATGCCATGCTGTCCAAAATGACCATGTCTTTGGCCATCTAGGGCATATGTAGGGAAGCTATAAAGAATGCTTCAGAATATTCACTCAGTTCTAAAACTGTGAACTCCTTTGTCAGGAGTTCATTATGCATAGAAGATGCTAAATAGAGCATTCATATTCACAAGGTCTATTAACTAAAAAACGAGGGTTTAACTCAGAAGTCATGGTCACATTACTATTTAAAGTTTTGTCAAATCCAATGTCAAAAATGCTTTGTACAGGTGACTTTTACTGACACTTAATTTTTAGTGTGAATGATAATCAGATGAGCACAACGATAATGTGCTGTGTAAATTCCACCAAATGGAAGTGCGGATTGATTTTCTTGTAATAACACATTTTTTCAGCATTTTGTGAGATAATAAAAGGATAGCTAAGTTATGCTTATATCAATCCCTTCATTTTGGCTTCATGATGTCAAACTGGACACAAGTCACTGAAATTCAGATAGCTGAATAATTCCATTTTAAACCAGATTAGCACAGGGCTCTATTCTGTTCCATTTCCTGATGTGTATTAGGAGGTTTGATATGTGGCTGGATACTTTATCATGCTTAAAATGATAATTTTTCTCTTAAAATCATAATTGCCATAATTCTGTTTCCATGTCAAGTTTAATCAAAAAGCATGAGATATTGGCCATCTTTAACTGTTTTGCCCCTTGATCTCCCTGCCGCCTTCCATTTCTTTCTGATTGTGTCATTCCATGAATTTCAAAATGTATCTCTGGACAAACACATCCAAGGTCTGCATGTACACATCTGAAATGAGCCGATTTTAAGCCATTTCTCTGCTATTTGATTTGATAGCCAAATCATGAGTGTGTTTCGCAAGTGTCTGATCTTGCCCTAATTCTCCACGGTCTCCAGCACTTTGGGACATGGATAGAAACGACAGTAATTCAGCGGTTGTTTGTGGTTGTTTCTGTGTCACCCTCTGTGTTAGGCCTCATGGTGACAAATGTGATGGGTGTCCCTGAAACTCTAGACCACAGGGCTCAGCGGCCCTGACCTAGTCACAGACTTACTCAATAAAAGAATAGGTTATTAGTAACAAAACTCTTTTATCAGATCTGTGGGCCATGCTACAAAAGGAAATTGGGTTTCTAATTCAACAATTGGTATGGGAATCAATCCAGTACCGATGTGCAGCTTTACTAAGTGGTCCAGTAGCTCAGCTGCCACGGAGTGTGGAGGGGATCTTCAGAGCCCAGAGATCCACCAGTACTTCCTCCCCATCTACTCTCCCCTCCTCCCC